CTTAAGAGACTAGTCAACAACGAAGGAACAGAAGACAACCTAGGATGAATGAAGCATAGGGAACACAACGAAGAGTGGTAGAACGTGAAGATGGGAGGTAAGAAGCTCCCACAGGACTTTGTAAGACACGTCTAGTATCTCAGACATCATCTTTACGATACTAAAAATCAATAAAGGGTGAAGATACATTACAAGGTGCAAGAGTAGAGAAGCAGGCAACTAATTACGAGGATGTTATTACAGTGGCCTAGGTGAAAAATGTCATCAATAGAGAAAGAAAGAAGTAGAAAGACCCCCTAGATATTTATATGGTAGAATTGAGAGTTCTGGTTGTGGGTGGTCCATTTCACTTTGTGGCTTGCTTTAATTTCAACTGCTATCTCATATGAAAATTGATTTTTTATTAAAGTTGTGCTATAAGGGGGTTTGTTTCATTTTTGTATACTTGGGTGTGGTGGAAACTGGTTTCCCCATATCCATTTTCCTCTCCTTTATTAGTATTAGGACCCCTGATTTTCAGCTAGGCACATAGCCACTGGGAAAAAAGGCTACCAGACTACCTAGCAGCAAACTGTTAGCCATGTGACTAACACCTATCTTATAGGATAGGAACAGAAGTGTAATGTGTGGTTTCTGAAAAGTATTAGTAAAGGAAGGATGTGTGACTGGTGTGACCTTCACCTGCTTTCTTCCAACTGACAAATGTGTGTGTAATGGCTGAAGCTCAATCAATGATCTTGACCTAGAATCAAAGCCATGTGAGACATGCCACGGCACAAGACAGAGCATCACACCAACGACTGTCTTCCTGCCTACCTCTGGACTTAAGTAAAATTTCTATTCTGCTGAATTTATTGTTATTTGTTTTCCTGTCCTATGCAGCAGTACCTAGTCCTAAGTGTTACTGACATTGGGTGGGGGGTGGGAGAGAGCTATTAATTTTATAATCATCATTTATGGCTAAATTTCCTGAAATGGGAGCTATATGTTTATGTCTTGTGGTTTTCAATATAAATTCAATGAGCTTCTTTATTTGACTATAAGGGGATTTTGTGGACAAATTAGAGTCACTGTTTTAACTTCTAGGGACTGTCATAACAAATTACCACAAATTGGGTGTCTTAAAACAGAATTTATTCTCTCATACTTCTGGAGGCAAGAAATCTGAATATCAAGGAGTTGGCGGGGTTGTTTCTTCCTGGGAGATCTGAGGGAGAACTTGCTCCATGCCTCTCTCCTAGCTTCTGTTGGCCAGAAATCCCTGACTTTTCTTAGCCTGGAGAACCACCCTTCTATGTCTGTTTCCATCTTCACATGGTCTTCTCTCACATATTACATGTGATGTGACATCACATGTCTGTGTCTTCACATGGCTTCTTATAAGGACATAAGTCATTGGACTTTGGGTCCACCCTAATCTAGTCTGACCTCATTTTAACTTGATTACATCTGCAAAGGGTCTCTCTCCAAGTAAGGTCACATTGACAAGTACTGGATGTTAGGATTTCAATGTGTCTTTTGCGGGGGACACAACACATAATACTTGCCATATTAAAAAAAATACATATATATATATATATACATATATATAGTATAAACTCATAATACTTTGCAGTCTTTAAATTTTTTTTTAATTTCCAAATGCATGTGATATATAGCTAAAGTTGGATTTCGTGGAAAAGGTCTAACTAATTACTATGTACTTGTTATATTTTCTATGAAAAAAATTACAAACGTAATATTTTAAAGTTCCTGGCATCTGTTAATTATTCCAATTGATTTTAACTGAAAGTATACTTTTCTCAAGTCCTCTTGATAAAACTTTGGAAAAAAAATTGAACGTATAAGCAAGTTTTCATTTTTTTCCTAAAAATTCCTGAAATGCCACACAAATATTTCTAAATTAAACTTGCATTTAATAAGTACTAAATGTATATTTAGTGAATGATAGAATGAGTGACAAATAGTATAATTTGTTCTTATTAAAATGTATAATACATGTTATAATCTTTGCTTCTGCTTAACTGAAAATGTTAAAGGAATTTTTCAGGTGAATATTATACTATTCAGAATATCAGTTTTTTTCCCCCAAATTGTAGATGAGTTCCACCCTCAAAAAAAAAGACGACTATCAACAAAATTAATCAACAAAAACTACTGTCAACAAAATTAAAAACTAAACTTAACTGTATGATTTATGATAGGTCTTTTAAAAGTTACCATTTGACATATGGTATTGGGATAATTTTTTAAAAGCTTTTAACCCTTATAAAACTTTTAATAAATTTTTACCCAATATTTGACAAAATTAATACCTTAAACAGTAATATAAATAAGCTTTTCTTCAAAAGAAGTTGACCATTCTATTTAACTAGCCAAATTAGTTTAACATATGTCAACCAAAAAAAGTGGAAATTTAGATCTATGTTGACTTTTAATTGCCACCATAAAACTAATTGACTTACCATTCTTCTGTTTTCTGAAAACACATACTCCTTAATATGATTTCAGTAAGGCAGGAAAAGGCACATTTCTTAGTACCTAAGCTGTGATGACTAGATATACCATAAGTGCTTCCTAAAATTAAACATCTGTATGCTTTATCAGGTCTCAGACAAAGAAGCTAACAAAAATCAATGCTAACGTGTGACGTGAGAATCACCGTTTGAGCAGCAACAGTTTAATGCACTGCTCTAATGGCCGGAGAAGCTTTCCTCTAAAGTTTAAATAGTTTTATTTGGAATATGCTTCTTGTGTTCTTTTAAGAGCTTTAAAATGCATGCACACACATACATTGATTAATAGAAAAATTCTGAAAAACTCCCTCAAATATTGTCATGGTTTCATTTCACATAGTAAACAGTGAAGTTGAACACGATACCAAAGTGTTAAGTTCACCAAATGGTGTGTTTTAAAGCCTAGTATCAAAATGTAATAGGATTTTTAAATTGTTTTCTTTGTGCCAAACTATGACCTTTATAAGTCTGTGCTTCCGTGAGACAATATGCAATTGGTTTATTTTGTAATTAGAGTGTTCGCTTATTCGACACACTTTTTATTGAAAAAATCTAATGTACATTAATAATGTATAAATAAAAACAAAAATCAGTCTTTGAAATCTGAAGGTAGAATTCCTAAGCTCTATAGAATATAAGAGATCCAGGCCCCTAATGGAAGCGAAAAGGCTGGGAAAGAGGAACAGAGGGAGGGAGAATAAATGTGCAAAATGACTTGTATATTTCCTTACTGGAGGTATTATGGATTTTAAGTCTAATTGGAGAAGATTTCAGTGCTCTAAGAACATAAATAGTTAGAGTCAGTATTTGACCCTAATACTGAAGAACAGAGTCGCTGGCTATTTTTATTCTGGCGAGCTACTCCAGTAGTACAGAAATGTTTACTAATCCTGGAAAAAGCAAGTACCTTTAAAATGTGTGCAATATACTGCAATAGAAATCTGCTCTTTTATAACTTACACACATTTAACTTATACCCTCTGCATCGTTTCCAAATCATATGTGTCATTCATTCACTTCCAACCTATATTTTAAGAAAACCTTCCATTCTAAGTACTAGGAATACAGGAAACAATCAAAAATTTCTGAAACTCAAAAGGGCTAATTTCTAGGAGACAAAATGGAGCAGTAAAATATATTTAACATCGATGCTAAGTGCTAAAAAAAAGAAATAGCAGCATTGGATATGGAATGTGTGTATTGCAAGGGGTTGCACAATTCTCAATATAGTTTCAAGGGAAGGCATCAAGGATGAGAGAATAAACCACCCAGGTATCTAGGAGAATGTATCCCAGAGAGAAAGGGTATAATGGGCAAAGACTGAGAGCCACCCTGTCCTGTGAGGAATAGCAAGAAGGGAGAGAATCGTAGATAAGGTGAGAAGGCATAGTATGGACTCCTGCCATTGCACACATATGCATGTATGTTTCTCACTATGTAGAGCCTTGTGGGCTACTGTAAAAATGAAATAACTTTACCTAGTAGCACTCTGGTAAATATCAGAGGTGAGATTTTAACTTATATGTCAGTGTCTTATCCAATTTTCTTAGTATGTGCCACACAGAGCTGATACAATGCATGAACCTTCAGTAGCGTGGGATTAAGTCCTCAACCCTGCTATGTCTCAAACTTGTGAAAAGGCTTAAATCTTAGGGTAGTTCTCAAGACTGAGCAAAACCTAAGGAGTGGAAATCCGCCTAGGTGAGAGGAGATTTAGGAAAACCTCTGCTGCTCCTGAAGAGCTATATACAGCCAGGAGAATTGTATATAAGAAGGACCCTTTCTGAAGGGACTAGAAAGTTAAAAAACATTCAGGAATGTGGTTCAAATTCTGAGAACCTTTTCCAAATGGAAGACTCAATCAGGAGATCTATCATAAGAACTGAGCCATCAAACAAGTTGGTAAACACAGGATGTACTGGACAGAAGAGATACAAAATGCATCTGTTTTTAAATTTATACAGTGGTTTTATTCCTGAAACATTAAATATATTTCAAAACAATGGAAATTAAAACCAATTTTCTTACACGAAACAGGAAAATAATTTTTAAAACAGGGATCAATAGAATTTTCTATATGTAGCCAGGTAGTATACTTGAGGCTTTGCGGGGCATATGTGATATGTTGTATCACAACCACTCAATTCTGCTGTTACAGTGTGAAAGCAGCCATGGACAATACTAAATGAATGGGTATGGCTTTGTTCCCAAAAACATTTACAAAAACAGGTTATGGGCCAGATTTGGCTTTCAATCTTCTCCTAGAAGGATAGAAAGATAAGGCCATAACACATTAATTATGAAGAAAAAATAGTTTACTAAAATAGTGACTATACAAAATGTTTATTCAGGAATAAATATTTCCGAATTAACTCACAATGCCTCAAAAGATATTAGCCACAGTCTGTCCACTGTTTCCTATATAGGGATCTTTGTTTGAGTACACTCAGTATGTTCTAGACAAAGTATTTTCATTAATCTTACTGACATTGCTGTACATTCTTCTTCCTGTTCTTTTTCTAAGGAGTAGTCTTTTACGACGTATCTGATAACCTTCATATTGACTGTAAGGATAGCTTTTTCTGGTTTTCCATGCTTTTATTTTCCAGGTATGTTACTTTGTTTTAAGAAAATAATAATCTTTAATAAACACATTGGTCCACAAAGCATACTCTTACAGTATCTAAACAGTGTAGTCTTTTGAGAGAACGCTAAGAAGGACAAATACCCGCACTGTATCCTAAGCCTTGTTAGACCACATTCTCTTAGCACCCACCGTACCTGAGGACCTCTGCTGTACCCATCTTGTGGTCAATTCAGACTTGAAAAAGCAAAATGGAAAAACCTGTAGGATACTGGGTTATGTCAAACCATCAAGCTGAACCATAGGCCAGAGTGCACTAAGGTTTCAAGCACCACTTGAGCTACAAACTTGAATACCATCAAGATTCTCCAACTCTCTTCTCTGCTTATCTAAAGGTTGGTTTTGTTTTCCTCTCTTTCTACACATTAGATATGTATATAATCAATGGAAAACAGACCTGCTGACAGTGAGTTTTTACATGGGAAGTAGTCCATCGACAAATAACTGAGCCATTGAGAAAATCCCTCAGGCTGTAACATTTGGGATAATCAGAATTGGTCTCTCTTGACGTGGATGGATATAGAGAGTGTCATACAGAGTGAAGTATGTCAGAAAGAGAAAAACATATATCGTATATTAACGCATATATGTGGAACCTAGAAAAATTGTACCCACGAACTGGTTTGCAGGGCAGAAATTGAGACACAGATGTAGAGAACAAACGTATGGACACCAAGGGGGGAAAGCAGTGTGTGGGGGGGGGGGATGGTGTCATGAATTGGGCGATTGGGATTGACATGTATACACTGATGTGTATAAAATGGATAACTAATAAGAACCTGCTGTACAAAAAAATAAAATTCAAAAAGAAAAAGATCTTTATGTTTAACTGGAAATAGGAAGATTTTTGTTAACCCATACAAAAATTAAAGGTTAAAGGTAACTGAAAAAAAAAAAAAAGAATTGGTCTCTCTTTAGTGCCTCAGCCTGTAAGATTATATTAGAAGCCCATGTTTGGGCCCATAAACTATGGCCAAGAGAAGAGGGCAATATACAATTATGGGACCCCCCCCCTTCCACGGGCACTCTATGAATAAAAGAAAAATAAGCCAGTTCCTGAAAGAATGAGACGTATGTTACATAGTAAAATCAAGAAATAGTGCAAATCTCGGGCTTCCCTGGTGGTGCAGTGGTTGAGAGTCCGCCTGCGGATGCAGGGGACACGGGTTCATGCCCCGGTTCGGGAAGGTCCCACATGCCGTGGAGCGGCTGGGCCCGTGAGCCATGGCCGCTGAGCCTGCGCATCCGGAGCCTGTGCTCCGCAACGGGAGAGGCCACAACAGTGAGAGGCCCGCATACCACAAAAAAAAAAAAGAAAGAAAAAAAAAAGAAAAGAAATAGTGCAAATCTCAAGAGCCAAGACATTTCAGTAGGAAGTTAAAATCTGGTAGTTCTGAAGTTATAGTACCTATATATTTTTAAAAGGAGGTAATCTCTATCACTCTACACCAAACATTATATAATGTACTTGTTTATAATTTTAAAAGTTGGTAAACAAGGTCATGTGTGGGAACCCAGTGGGAGATGCACAATTTAGTGCCATCTGAGAGCCTTGAACTATCCTGTGCTGAAAGAACATTCTTACTTTATGACACCAGACTTTATCATTCTAGACAAGGTACTGCTAAACGTAGAATAGACAGCTTGGGTAAAGGCTGCTAAGGGACACACCAAATCATTCCATTAAAATCCACTACGCAGCAAGATCTCATCGGCAAAACTGGTTTCACTTTTCCTCAGCTGGCCAAGAACTATTTGATGAAAGCTGGTGTATCAATTAGTTCACAAACAAAGCCATCGGGTTTCTCCATTTTTATCCTTTGAGATAAGCATTCCTTAAGTTCAGACAGAAAATGGCACCACTTAAAGCTATATTAAGAGAATTCTGCTGCTAAAACAAATGTTTTGAAGCAATAACACAGAAGCAACATGGTGATACCAGAGCAAGTTACAGAACAGACTGTAGACGCCGAATGAAGGTCAAGTGCTTTAAGGCTCTTAGATAGTAATGTTCTCTCTGAAAAATATTCCCCACTGTGCACTTATCCCTTTGGAAGATGTGGCATAAATGACTTTGAGTAAATAAAAATAAAGCTAAATTGTTTTAGACGATATGGCTGTTGTCTAACATTTTACTTATTTGGACTACAGATAGTCAAGGGTATCCCTCCATCACTTCCCTTAGTTTTTCTGAAGGGATTAAAGATTAAAAGCAACATTGTTGGACAGGTTAAAACCATGTGTTACATAAGACTGAAATAAAATTCTGTATGGGGTTAGTCAAGATCCATTCCTCAACTGTAAATGTACCGATTCTAATCACTGCCCTTTACCTTTGGGGGGGTTTAAACCCTCATCCACTAAATATACTCACTGTGTGTGGTTAAACTCAAAGGCAGCCAAGAAACATTTTAGCAAATAAAATCAATTTCTTAAGCACTATTTTATCATCATTTTGTTTTGCTTCTTTCTGTTACACAATATTTGGTAAATACATCATTTGGATATGAAACCAATAAGTAAATTTGGCATAAAGATAAAAATCAAGAAATATTATTTATGTTGTTAAAAAGATCCAGATTTTGCATTTAGAAGATTAGCTAATCGATACTGCTGTTGGATTCTCGCATCAATGAATAAATAAATGAGAAAGTATTTTGAGACTATCAGGTGATAATCTATCTCTTTCATTTATCATTCAAGAAAATTAAAGTATAATAATATAAACACACGTTACTCAACATCAGTCCAGATGTTGTTAATCTTTTCATGGCTGTGCTAGTAAATAGCCCTTTATCCTTTAATTAACTCTATCATCCTTTGTATTTTAAAAAAATATTAATTCTAAATATGTATTTTTTAAGTTGCATGAGTCTATCACAAACTGCTAAGACGTTAGGAGTACTAAATGTCCTGACCGTGTAAAGATATGATATTTAATAAGTTGGACCACAGTCAACTATTAAAGAATTATAATTTCATCTTTATAGCCTGTACAAGTTATTCATCCCAGATTGAGAAAAATAGAATTTAAAAACTATTCTTTATCTAAAATTTTTTGTGGAAGACCAAAGCTACTTTCAAACAATCTCAAATTATATCTGTGATGTGGAGAAAAGGGAACCTGCCTACACTGTTGGTGGGAATGTAAAGCGGTACAACCACTGTGGAGAACAGTATGGAGGTTCCTTAAAAAACTAAAAATAGAGCTAACATATAATCCTGCAACCCCACTCCTAGGCATATATCCAGAGAAAACCATAATTTGAAAAGATACATGCACCCCAGTGTTAACTGCAGCACTATTTACAATAGTCAGGACATGGAAGCCGCCTAAATGTCCATCAACAGATGAATAAAGAAGATATGGTACATATATACAACAGAATATTACTCAGCCGTAAAAAATAAGGAAATAATGTCATTTGCAGCTACATGGATGGACCTAGGGATTGTCATACTAAGTGAAGCAAGTCAGATAAAGACAAATATCATATGATATTGCTTATATGTGGAATCTTAAAAAAGGGTATAAATGAACTCATCTACAAAACAGAAATAGAATTACATATGTAGAAAACAAACTTATGGTTACTGGGGGTAAGCAGAGGACAGGGGAGGGGATAAATTGGATGACTGGGATCGAGATAAACACACTACTATATATAAAACAGGTAACTAATAAGTACCTACTGTATAGCACAGGGAACTCTACTCAATACTCTGTAATAACCTATATGGGAAAAGAATCTGAAAAACAATGGATATATGTGTATGTATAACTGATTCACTTTGCTATACAGCAGAAACTAACACTGTAATCAAATACACTCCAATAAATTTTTTTTTAAATTATCTGTAAATGCAATCATTTAAAAAAACACAACTTTTCAACATTAAGCTTTTTAATACTAATTTTGATGGCAAAAATAGGGTTTTAGAAAAATTATACAAACTCCTAGATTTGTTATAAAATTATTTCTCTCAATAAAAAGAAAAACCTTTTAAATACATGTATATAGATTCTTGCATTGATAACCAAAATACAGTCTGTAGATATCACTAACTTCTTCTAAAAGAACACAGAGTAAAATGTTTTTCTTTAGAAAAGCCAAAATAGTTACACTGTACCTAATATTTATGTGAAATCAGCATATACTCTTACTGCCTAATGACTATACTACTTGGCCCCTGTTTTTACTTTATTAGGATTAAAAAACATGGTTCTCTTTTATAGTGGTATATTACCAAGTTAGCATTTTAATATACATAATGATGGTATGTGGAGTTTTCATCCTTTGGGTAACATTCTTACAAAAATTAAGTACTAAATTTACTAAGTTTGAAAAACACTAATGAAAATTATTACCTCCTCTGTTCTCACTCTACCCTCTAGGACAGTGGTTCTCAAAGTATGATCTTAGGACCAGCGACATCAGCATCACCTGAGAATTACCAGAAATGAAATTTCTATGCCCGCCCCATCCTCAGTCAGAAAATTTGGGACTGAGGCCCAACAAGATGTGCTTTAATATGCTTCCCAGGTGGTTCTGAGGCAGCTAAGTTTGAACTGCTGCTCCAGACAAAATTTAGCACAAGCATTTGGTCATCATTAGATTGATTTTTTATATTAGAAAAATACCATAAAAATGTTGCATTTGGGCTTACTTTTTTCACAAAATAAGTACATTTAAAGATAAAATAAAGCATTTATTTTTAAAAAATAACAACAAGGGACTTCTCTGGTGGTGCAGTGGTTAAGAAGCCGCCTGCCAATGCAGGGGATATGGGTTCAAGCCCTGGTCCGGGAAAATCCCACATGCCACAGAGCAACTAAGCTCGTCTGCCACAACTACTGAGCCTGTGCTCTAGAACCTGTGAGCCACAACTACTGAGCCCTCGTGCCACAACTATT